TATAGTTTTGCTAACACATTACGCGATTATTCGATATTAAAAATTTCTTGGATTTGGAAGGTGATCAGTCTGCAACCCCAAGGAATGTGTCACTTTCGCCATTCGAAAGTGTGCGGCATTGTTTGGGGTTGCATTTGACGATCGACGGAGGGGGGGGGGCATTTTGTATTATAATTGCTTCCCTAGGTTCCGGTTTACAAATCTCACTCTGGTAAAACTTGTGAACGCTTGTGAAGCTGGAGCAAGATCGTCAAAACTGTGAACGCTTGTGAAGCTGGAGCAAGATCGTCTAGCCACCATCCTAAAACGTGTCAACTCGATAAACAACGTCGATAAACAGCGCCTGCGGCAAGTATTCTCAGGGCTTGCGATTGCCTGTCATCTCCGCCCATGTATTTTTATACGCCCATCAATACAAGACCACTGAGTGTTCTCGCAACAAATTTTTTCGCCCTTGCACGGCTGGGTTGCTTTTGTCGTTCTTGGTTGTTGGTCTCTCCTCCGCACGCGCAGTATTTCGCCGCCTCGCGCTTCTTCGAATGCTCTTTCCATGCTCGAAATCATCTGTAAAAGAAGGGGATTTGCTCAGTTTTCAATAAAATTTTTCGAATTTTCTAAACTTCCTCCCTTCTCTTCACCAGTAAGTTAGCACTTGCAAATTCATAGTCGAACCGCGCAATACACGACTGGCAAGAGTGGCATTGTCTTTAGGCATGTTAACTATACAAGTTTACTTCCATTTTTTGCAAAGCAGTACTGTACGTGATTTTATAGGCATCTGAGACACTATTTCGACAACTTTCCAATCATGGCTACATCTCTAAAGTGAGACATGGAGAAGTGATACCATTTGTGGTCGGTTTGGGATTGCTCTTCTACCTTTATACTGCCGGACAACTTGACAATGGTACAAAGAGGTTTCTCAAGTTGGTTGACTGCATTGGTAATATATTTTCAAGCTAGCAACCCTTTTATGAAGAAGTCACTCTCCGAAAAAAATAATTCTTAAGATGTTCACTACCGCTATTTCGGATTTGTCGCTAAAATTTATTTTGAAACCTAAGGAAATGTTTATACGTCACAATTTTCCTCTACCTTATTTGCAACTTAGCGTTTTTACTGGAATCAAAAATAAAATATGGAGCTTTGTGGCGGAGCAGGTGTAATGGCGAATGGTCCGCTCACCCCGCGCGCCATCACGGGTCAAATCTCCGATCGGCTCGCCCAGTTAGGCCATCTAAACCTGTTACTCTCTGAGGACAGTAAGCGCTACTGGATTTGCCTTGGAGGATAATAACATTGACTAGCACAGTCTTGTTAGCTGCGGATGGAGGGGCGTGTCAGTGAGGCTGGGCTTGGCGCGCAGCCCGCCCGTTCTCCACTACCTTAACGACTCAGTCGACTGACGCTAAGAAATTTCTTCAGCCTTCCTTTGATCCTCGAACTATTCGGCTTCTAGGGAGGAGCTAACTTGTCAGGAAGGGTGTCAGTTCGTAGAAGAAGTACCTGGAGAGGAAGGCGAGTTAGGATTTCATAGTCCAACTTGCTCAAATTTTCTACGGTCCTCGGGAAGAAGTGTCCAAAATCCTTCTCTACCTTTCTCCTGAACCACAAGATCCTCTCGCAAAAGAGTGAGTGTAACGACTCGAAAGAGGTGTAAGTACATCAAGTATAATCAACTAGAAGTTCAGTGTTAAAGGCACAGTTCGCGACCGCAAATTGCGGGAAACGGAACTCAAATAGGCACAAAAAAGTGCTAAGTATCTGATTAGCGGAGAAAAGCAGCAGAAAAAGCAGTCCGAAATGTTATAGAGAAAGATAACATAGTGGCTACTAGCTAGTAGCTAGCAGCCGGTGAGGGTCGGCATGGGCCTAAGGGGTGTCCATGGGCCTAATTAGTCAGCTTCTAGCGGAGTTCTTGCCGTTTTTCACATTTTGAAAGTAGCGCAGCCTCAAAAATCGCCTTCCGGATCGTCCGACACATTTGAGAGGTCATAGCCTTATTTTATCGCGGAATGTGCCTTTAAGTAACCAAGAGGACCTAAGAAACCAAAAATTGATTTGGGTACATTTCCCATCAAGCCGTCACGTATACTTTACTTTAGCCATAAAGCTATTGATACGCAAGCTCTTGAAACACGCTCTCAAACTTATTTTCTGTTTGCTTAGATCATTTTATTCGGAATTTGTCCGATGAATATTTTAATTTACAATTAAATCCCGATAATAATTATTTATTATAGCTTCACGCATAACCTAAACGGAGAAAGGGATATCACAGAAGATCACTCAATGCCTAAAGAATTCAAAAGTTTTCTTTGTGAGCTGAGGAAGAAGTACAACAGAACGGAGCATTGTGTTCATCGACACTCTTGTGTTAGTAATGTCGTTGAGGTAAGAATAATAATATTGTGTTGCTGTTTTTTGAGCTTGTCTTTTTGGCAACTTTCACAGCAGCACGACCGACTTTCATGTACTAGTATATATTACCCTACTTTCTGGGGTATACAGGGCGCATTTCGCAGAGTCGTACGCGATGACGCGCGCGTAAAGTTGGTGGGCACAGCAGCGATTTCGCTTAAAGGCAGTTGGCACGATGGTTTCCTACTTAGCCTAAAATGCTAGTAGGGCGCTGTATAGTGGGAAATGGCGAAAGAACGGAGTGAAACGGTCAAAATCCTGCGAAGAAAAAGCCTCCGTTCTCAGTGACTTGAAATCGATTTCGGACGAGTTCCTCTCTTACCATCTTACCACCGCAGCCGAGGATACGGCTGCATATGTGCCCATGTATGCATGCAGCATCACGGCCGCTTCATACCAATCCCTTCGCTTCATAATTTGCTTAGCAAATGAATGAATACGAGCGTCAGGAACGGTCGTCCATTTGTGGGCGGGCGGGCGTGGCGTTTGGGACGTAATGTTGTGGCTTGATAGGGCCCTTATAAGGGCACCTTCCTCGGGGAAACGCTATGCAGCGCCTGCCCAGGGTCGCGGAATTCTATCCTGCCAGGAGTATTGATCCTAGTCGTCTTGGGGGATTTATCGTGCCAACTGCCTTTAAGTCTTGTCTCCTTTACTCTTGCAAGTGTTTTGAAACTCCTGTTTTTATCATAGATCCTTAAAGGCACATTCCGCGATAAAATAAGGCTATGACCTCTCAAATGTGTCGGACGATCCGGAAGGCGATTTTTGAGGCTGCGCTACTTTCAAAATGTGAAAAACGGCAAGAACTCCGCTAGAAGCTGACTAATTAGGCCCATGGACACCCCTTAGGCCCATGCCGACCCTCACCGGCTGCTAGCTACTAGCTAGTAGCCACTATGTTATCTTTCTCTATAACATTTCGGACTGCTTTTTCTGCTGCTTTTCTCCGCTAATCAGATACTTAGCACTTTTTTGTGCCTATTTGAGTTCCGTTTCCCGCAATTTGCGGTCGCGAACTGTGCCTTTAATATGAACGTAATCCACCCCAAGCTTAGCAAACTTTCTATCCTCCGGCTATCAAACCATCCTAGCACCTTCCAAAGCTGAATGCCATCTAAAGCAGTACAACCCCACGTCTGCTGCTACCTTTAGGAGCCATTCGTTTATGCTTGCGCTGCCACGCACCTCTTAGCTTTTGTTATTCCAGAGTTTCGGCTACAACTTCACAATTGGACTTGGAGTTAGTTTTGCTCTCACATTAGCGCAGAATATGTCGACAGTATTCTCGAATCCCGTGAAAGTGTTGGACAAGTTACTTTCCAAGACGACCTTGCGAATACCCACTTTTTTTGGCCTCATGCCATTTATATACCACGTGAGTTCCTAGCCCTTTTTTTCTTCAGTTGATTTCAATTGTTAAAAATCTAGATGGAATAAAAAAAGTATTATTGGGTGGGTAATGATACACATCCCTAGGAACATTCTGAAAGGTTAAGCATCCAGGCACGTACATACAGTCCATGTCTGAGGGCAACAAGGGGCGTAGCTGCGAGACCACCGATGGTGTGACTGTAAAAAGAGCTGGGACGTACATACGTGAAAGAGAAAAGCTGGATTGTTCTGAAAAAAACCAAGATTCAGGAAAATTCAGAGTAGAGTTGCTGCTATTTCAATATCATGGGGCATATTGTTACAAAGCATCAGTCCTACAGTACAGCCATTTCAGTCTACTGAAAAGCTACTTTTAATCTACTGGGAAGTTTGAAAGTTTGTTTTTTTTATGACAAATGTATAGATGTTTCTAGACTGTTCGATGTGCTATTAACCGACTTCCACAGCGGAGCCACAAATACAGCAATATCGTCGCCGGTTCGGCTTCAGGCCTAGCTTTGTTAGCCTTTCCAAATGTTTCCATTTCTATGTACGTACTTTGGAAGGGTATCGAGGTAATGAGGAACTTTGAATAACCTTTATTTTGATTCAACTACAAAGCACTACAAGTAAATTTTGTGAAACCAGATGGTCTACCGTGATTTGGTGCGACAGGGGCGTGTCCGACCGATGCCGTACGGCGATTTGTTCCTCTACACTGTATCGACAGCCTACGTACTCTGGCAGATTATAATCGAGCCGCAAGCTATCCGGAAAGGCTACCTCAAATTCCTTCTCGGACTGACTGGGAACAGGTTGGAGAGGTTTTCCAAGTTCAGTACTATAAAAATGAGTTCCTTGTTCACTTGCACTCAAAGACTCAATCCGCAATTATCTGAGAGGTGAGATCCTCACGTGTATAGGGAACGCGACTCTGAACTAGTTGTAGCATCGTGCGAAGAGCCTCAATCAGTGGGAGATCGTTCTTGGTCGATGAGATTCGCATTTTGCTCGCGATTTCATGAGATTCAGCCTAGATGGAACTTTTCGCGGTTGCACGAGAAATTCTTCTGCTGCTGACTTTTCAGCTGACGCTCCAGTTCTGAACTAGGAAGTAATTTCACTTCTAAAGTAACCGTATGAAAGATGTAGGCTTACGCTGAGTGTCGTATATTTGCTGTAAGGCTGCATTCATACTTTGCGGCAGCGTCCACCAGCGACCAGCAGCAACCACTAGCGACCGTTCCGATCGTCTGGCAGCGTTTGTGACTAGGAAAGTACACTGCGAAGCATAATCATAGTTCCACCCATGAATCTCACAAAATCCCGTCTTACACGACGTTTTCAAAAATGCCCCCATACAGAAAATGTGGTAATTACCAATACCAATTCGCATGCCAACACCAAACTCTAGCTTGAAAAACAATTTTTTTTCGTCAATTTTTTCAAAAATGGTCGTTCTGACAACGCAGCAAAAATATAGTTCCACCGCATATTTTCCGGCTGCATCTCATTTTTGTTCGGTGAAACTTCTCATCATTATGACTTCTTGCCTCTTCTAGGCTATGGCAAGTGGAACTTCATTAATGGACCTCGAAAAAGGACAGATTATCGCAAAGAAGACTCAAAAACTGGTGAAGCGTCGATCGCTCGGGATTCGGGCCGCACTCATCATTCTATCATTTTTTCCAAGGGACCTACAGCATATTGAGTTGAGAAGAGCTCTGGACATCCTCCTTTGCTGCCCGATCCTCCGTATCCTTAGGAAAGCATCCAACTCTGCAGTGTCGTGTCGGGAAATTAAGTCATCTTCGCAGGTTAATGTCTCGGAGGATACTGTTAGGCGTGTCTTGGAAAACTCCCGAGTTCACCCATAGGAGGAATATGAGTTACGTACTGTTTCTAACGAAAAACCATCGCGAAAACCTAATTGGCTTTCAATGGAGTGAGGTTGGCTTTTGGCTGCGGTGCCCTACTGCTTGTCTGTAGTGTTTTTCAGTTTTTTTTCTCGCGGTCGTGTTTTCTGATGAGAAAAAATTCAACTGCGACGGCTCCGACGAAAACCGATTCCGCTGGCACGACCTGAGGGAAGACAAGTTTCATTTTTCCGGGCGGAACTTCAGTGGATGTGGTCTCATGGTCTGGGCTGCCATCGCATGAATGGAACGTCTGAAACTGCGCTCCGTATGAAAAAAGAAATGATTTCTTCCGTCATCTAAAAGTCACGCGACAACGTCTCCTTGCTTTCTGGCGTAGAAATCAGCAAGAAAGTCCCGTTTTCATGCAGGATAATGCACCAGTTCATGACAGTCGAAGCACTCGAGCGTGATTCAGTCGTCACCAAACCGCTCTTTTGCCCTGGCCAGCGAGTAGCCCCGACTAAAACCCAATCGAGGATGTGAGGGGCTTCATGGTGCGTATGATCCATGAGAGTAATGCACAATTCCACAATGTCCGTGAGCTTAGGGAGTAATCATTGGGGCAGTCGGCCGAAAGCCTATTAAAATCTCTAATCGAACATGGGCAACCGTATTTTCCAACTTAATTGGAGAAATAGAGTTCCAATAGATTACTGGATCAAAATTTATTCATTTTATTGTACATTTGTTGTTGGAATATTCGATTTGTTCGGTGGAACTATCATTTTGCTGCGTTGTCAGAACGACCATTTTTGAAAAAATTGACGAAAAAAATTGTTTTTCAAGTTAGTTTGTTGTTGGCATGCGAATTGGTATTGGTAATTACCACATTTTTTGTATGGGGGCATTTTTGAAAACGTCGTGTAAGACGGGATTTTGTGAGATTCATGGGTGGAACTATGATTATGCTATACAGGGGGGGGGCCAAAAAAAAGTCATTTTGCCTCCATGACTTTCAAGGCGCTATAAGTTACACTTTATTAAATTTTTATCGGACATTTTTACTACCATATTAAAGAGCACATTAAATACTATAATGATACTCCGCCACAGCCTTCTGGAGGAGCGCCATCGAGAGATTCGGCCGCGCGAAAGTGAGTGGGTACCGGAGTTGAGCGAGATCGTTGATTTCTCCGCCACTGTAGACCACCCTGTTGAGCTCCGCCCGAACCGAGTAATTGAGTTCAGCCCCCGCTTAAATACTCCATCTTTTCCAGGTACTCCAAATGACTTCCACAGCGGAGCCACAAATACAGCAATATCGTCGCCGGTTCGGCTTCAGGCCTAGCTTTGTTAGCCTTTCCAAATGTTTCCATTTCTATGTACGTACTTTGGAAGGGTATCGAGGTAATGAGGAACTTTGAATAACCTTTATTTTGATACAACTACTGATCACTACAAGTAAATATTGTGAAATCCAGATGGTCTACCGTGATTTGGTGCGACAGGGGCGTGTCCGACCGATGCCGTACGGCGATTTGTTCCTCTACACTGTATCGACAGCCTACGTACTCTGGCAGATTATAATCGAGCCGCAAGCTATCCGGAAAGGCTACCTCAAATTCCTTCTCGGACTGACTGGGAACAGGTTGGAGAGGTTTTCCAAGTTCAGTACTATAAAAATGAGTTCCTTGTTGCACTCAAAGACTCAATCCGCGATTATCGATCCATCGCGTGTATAGGGAACGCGACTCTGAACAAGTTGTAACATCGTGTGAAGAGCCTTAATCAACGGGAGATCGTTCTTGGTCGATGAGATTCGCATTTTGCTCGCGATTTCATGAGATTCAGCCTAGAGGGAACTTTTTCGCGGTTGCACGAGAAATTCTTCTGCTGCTGACTTTTCAGCAGACGCTCCACGTTCTGAACTAGGAAGTAATTTCACTTCTAAAGTAACCGTATGAAAGATGTAGGCTTACGCTGAGTGTCGTATATTTGCTGTAAGGCTGCATTCATACTTTGCGGCAGCGTCCACCAGCGACCAGCAGCATTCCACCAGCATCCTTTCCGATCGTCTGGCAGCGTTTGCGCCTATTAAAGTATAGATATCAGTCTAGTGACACGCAGCGTGTACCAGCGTCCACCAGCATGCACCAGCGTCCACCAGCGTCCCGAAGGCTAGGAAAGTATAGTATGGATCTGACGACCAGCGGCGTCTACCAACGTCCCAGCGACCAGCAGCGTCTGGAAATAGAGAGTATGGGGCGATATGAGGGGGGGGAGTCAGTTAGTAAAGTATGGGGCGATAGAAGGGTACCAGCTGTCTGCTACTCTTCTACCGTTCCTTACTCTCCAGTTCCTGGACGCTGTCTGTCGCTGATGGACGCTGGTATTCACTGCTGGTCGCCAGGTCGAGCCCCATACTACCCTAGACCTCGAGACGCTGCTGGTCGCTGATGGACGTTGATGGTCGCTAGTGCACGCTAGTGGATGCAAGATCGATACTCATGGCTTCATAGTCGCTGACGATGCCGGACGATCGGAAGTCTAGTGGTCGCTTTTGGACGCTGCCCTAAAGTATGAACGCAGCCTAGTCGTACAGTGATCAGTGGTTGAAAAAAGATCTGAAAATCGAAGTAATTGTTTGATAATCGTACCTGTTTCAGGATGTCTCTGGTGAACCGCGACCTATACGAACATTTTGGATATCGTTCGCGTTCACTGTTCCCTTATAAACCAACACTTAACACAAAGTATGTGACGATCAATCCAATGCTGTATCAGCCAATTTCACCACCATGAGGTCAACGGGAACCAGTTAGCGTGAGATTCCGATTGACCCATACCTCATCATTTTCGGGTTGTAAAGCTTTAGACTGATAAATGTTACTATTTTTGATTCTCATTACTGTGTGATAAGCGTTTAGCTAGCATCAGAGTCAAGCATCGTTGCGGAAAGTTGGGGCTTCGAAAGAACCCCATCCTAAGTGTGTCCGTACCCCGACCCCGCCCCCCTCCCCCTTAGTGCCTATGGAGTTTGTGGAGGTGTCTGTATTTTACCGTCTAAGTATCTGAGTATCTAGGAACATATACCAGGTCAACTTTTGTCCCAACGAAACATCACGGCGCAGTTCGGCGAGGGGGGATGGGCATTTTGCTGCTTACTAGTTCCGGGTTACAAGTCTCACTGTCTACGGACAACTTGAACTTAATCCCCTTGAATGCGTCGATCTTCTCTTCACTCTCGTCCGCTTGGCACTCTATGGCGCTGTGACTTCGCTCACCCTAAGAATTTCCTGGCTCGCCATACGTTTTTTGCACGTTTCGATGCTTTGGCAGCCGCTGCCCTCTATCCGTCTGCGTCACAGGGTTTCGTAACAGGACCACGCACAAAAATCGTCGCTGTCGGTGTATATTGCCTGTTCCTCGGCAATCAGATCGACAAATGGATGATACCACACAACTACAAGAAGGCCACCGTTGCTCGTCATAGTGCCAGACCCCGAGTAACTGTATTGTAGGGCAGTGCTGGGACACAAACTACTGAGACCTGGGTTCAATCGCCCCATTCGCCCAACATAAAGCCGTTCGATTCCAACTGTTCTGGTCAGTCGAGGGTACTCTCCGACGGCAAACGCTACAATGTTTTGTCATTCGCCGAAATTGGCAGCAACAGCAATTTACTCGCACTTGTTGAAAAACCGAAGGTACCAGAGGTCCAAACGCTTTCGGGGCCCTGGGAGCGGGTCATTGGTGAAGGAGGGATCTACTTAACTCAAAGCCAAAATATTACTTTTCTATCTGTTTTTCTCTTCGTTTTATATGAATAAGTCTTTGGCACTTCTGAATGGGATGACCTAATATTATTTGAGAGGGCATGACTTCATTCAAAAACTTAAAAACATGTTTCGTAGAGTGGTAGGACTGTTCGAAAATCATCACTCATTTCACCAAGCTTGTCTTACTGCTTCTGGCCAGAAATTAACGCAGAGAATTTTTGCTAAAGCAGGTGTCACCTTTCCACGTTATAACTTCGTTTAGATACAACGTATAATGTAAGTCTACCCGGCATTGGAGAAAAGACAAGACTTAAAGACAGCTCCCGCAATAAAAGTGTCATGAATAGTTGCCTCCGCGTTCCAATTATCAAAGAAGAAAAAAGCAAGAAGAGTCCTCAAGAACACCATAAACAAAATCGCTCCCTGACAGTCACACCTCCCTGCGGTCTCTGTGCAACCCCTGGCTCACAAATCCCTTTATCACATCTCCCAGTAGTGGATATCATCCAATGCAAAGAAAAGAATACGAAAACAACAAAAACTCGGAAGAAAAACTCCTGAAAGGAAAAAAAAACTTAAACACGGCGTCCGAATTTGGGTTACGGTAGCGAGCGGCTTTTAGTGCATGTTGCTAGTCGAGCTTTTGCACCACAAAAATTGCATCACTCGTGATTTTTACGCGTTTTACCTTACGAGATGGGTTGCATTTGACTGTATGTGCTCTCCAATGAATGAAATGTGATAAAGGAGAGCAGAGTTAGGCGGTCCAACTGAGCGGGCGTTAGAACTAGAACTTTCAGCGGCTGTAGCTCGCTCCTCGCTCGCTGTGGAGTCGCGAGAGTGGGACAGTCTCTAGCTTGGGGGCTGTACTACTTGCACAAGAAAGGACGACCATGTACTACTTGAGCGCGGGGGCTGTCTTTAACATCTTTGCTGTAGCTCGACTACAGCGAAGCGCCCGTCGAGAATTTCACTTTGGACGTAGTATGAGGATTTTCCCCCCATAAAGCTCACATATCCACCTGGAAAGATCAGTACAAAATTCGTACACCTTCTTTTATGTGGCGAATAGCAACTACACCACAGAGGCGCTGATCAACACCACCATGGAATGCGCCATGTGTCTTCGTTCCCGAATGCATTTCTTATCGTGCAAGCTACGTCGCTGATGTTGAGTTCTAACCTATGCAATCGCGACTCTCCCAAGGAGACCGAATACGGCCAATTGTTACGGATTTCGCGACGTATTTCAACTCGGGCTAACATGTTGTATCGTTGAAACGCATTAACATCGATCAGGCGACAATAGTAAATTTTCAATTTTCAAAAAACTATAGTTATTCATTTGGTCGCTGACGTAACATGCCTTCCCCTTTGAATGGCGTCATTGCGCTGTGCCAGTAACGAAAATCCGTGGTTATTTTACGGTGGTTTTCTGATTTCTGACCTAGTTTAAGACCATTTGTCAAAGTGCAATGAATATTTTGAAGGTTTGTCATCAGCTAGGGTTCGGGCGATTTATTATCGTCACCGGCGATGTTGAGAAATGAAATTTATCAGCGGGTGAGAAATTGCATTGTGGTGAAGTAATGGTGGCCATGTTTAAAGGCGGTTGGCATAATTAATTCTTGAGACGAGTAGGAATGATACGCCTGGAGCACGGAACTCCGCGCCGCTGAGTAGGAGCTAGCTAGCGCCTATGGAAGGTACCCTTATAAAGCACCATCAAGCTGCAACACGCTGACTCCACCACGCTCCCCCCCCCGACCCACAAATGGACGACCGTACTGATGCTCGTATTGTCGTTTGCGAAGTAAAATATGAAGCGAAGAGATTGATATGAAGCGGCCGCGGTGCTGCATGGATATATGAGTACATACGTGCAGCCGTATCTACCGTAGCGGTTATTGGCACGATGCCTACGGGAAACTCGTCCGAAATTGCTTTCTGAGTCATGAAGAACGAAGGCTTTTCTTCGCAGGTTTTTGACCGTTTCACTTCGTTTTTCGCCATTTTTCCACTATATAGCACCCTGTCAGCATTTTACCATTGCACCACAGCATTGTACCAAATTATTGTGAGATATTCTTTTAAGGCAGTTCCTTCATTTTGCAACAACAGGTTTGCTCCTGTAAGCTCGACTAGACAGCTTTAAGTGTTCTTTTTCACCTTCTCGTGCTGCACGATGAAAGACCAGAGTTCGAATGCCCTGAAGCGATCAGTAGAAATAGTGGTAAAGGTTCAATTATCGGCTGCAGAATTACTAGAGCAATCAAGTAGTAAAGAG